GACGGAAGGAATAGACTCCGAAGTGTCCCTATTTGCAGATGATGTGAAGTTGATGAGAATAATTCATTCGGACAAGGACCAGGCAGAACTACAAAGGGATCTGGACAGGCTGCAGACCTGGTCCAGCAATTGGCTCCTGGAGTTCAACCCCACCAAGTGCAAAGTCATGAAGGTTGGGGAAGGGCAAAGAAGACCGCAGACGGAGTACAGTCTAGGGGGCCAGAGACTACAAACCTCGCTCAAAGAAAAAGATCTTGGGGTGAGTATAACACCAGGCACATCTCCTGGAGCGCACATCAATCAAATAACTGCTGCAGCATATGGGCGCCTGGCAAACCTCAGAACAGCATTCCGACATCTTATTAAGGAATCGTTCAGGACCCTGTACACCGTGTACGTTAGGCCCATATTGGAGTATGCGGCACCAGTTTGGAACCCACACCTAGCCAAGCACCTAAAGAAACTAGAGAAAGTGCAAAGGTTTGCAACAAGACTAGTTCCAGAGCTAAGAGGTATGTCCTACGAGGAAAGGTTAAGGGAAATCAACCTGACGACACTGGAGGACAGGAGAGATAGGGGGGACATGATAACGACATACAAAATACTGAGAGGAATTGACAAGGTGGACAAAGACAGGATGTTCCAGAGATTGGACACAGTAACAAGGGGACACAGTTGGAAGTTGAAGACACAGATGTATCACAGGGATGTTAGGAAGTATTTCTTCAGCCACAGAGTAGTCAGGAAGTGGAATAGTTTGGGAAGCGATGTAGTGGAGGCAGGAACCATACATAGATTTAAGCAGAGGTATGATAAAGCTCATGGTTCAGGGAGAGTGACCCAGTAGTGACCAGTGAAGAGGCGGGGCCAGGAGCTATGAATCGACCCCTGCAACCACAACTACGTGAGTACTGTGCCACTCAAACTCTCTCTCTCACACTGTCTTCCTCACACTGTCCCACTCACATTGTCTCCTTCACACAGTCCCACTTCGTCTCCCTCTCACTGTCCCACTCTCGGCTATAATTAGCATCACAAGGTGAGAAGCTGACGTCATAAATGATCGACTGTGAATTAATGTTCTTGAGTAGGGTACATACATTCAGTGTAGTTGCTAATTTGTTGCCCGTTTTGTGGTGTAGAAGCTGTCTTCTCACTGTTTGTTTTGTGGTAAAGAAACTCTCTTCTCGTTGCTCGTGAAGTGAAGCCAGGTGTGCAACCTTGATAACGTCATCTTGATGCTGAAAACTCTGCTGAAATAACAGATCCATCCAGGCCGGGTCGAGGCTGGAGATGAGTCGTCTTGCAGGTTTCTCTACTTTGTCAAGGCGTCGGAAATGTAAGGGACGGGTGGGGAGGCAGTCCAAGAAAGTGGTGCATACTCTCTCTCTCAGAGAGTGGAAATAGATTAAGGATAAAGTCTTTTGGTGATATGAGAACATTAGTAGATGCTGAGGCAGTCACATGGGATGGAGGTTAATGACATCTCTTTAGAGTACGAGCCGCCATTAACCGCCACTATGTGATTGATCTTATATTCCCACTTTACCATTATTTAAATTATCATCTCTTCCTAGGCATCTTACCCTTTACCCCTATCTGCGTTATTTCTTTATTTCCCAGTTTCCCATCCCCATTATTATTATTATAATCAAGGGGGAAGCGCTAAACCCAGAGGATTATACAGCGCCTGGGGGGGGAGATGTGGAAGGCATTCAGGCTTAATTCGGGGAACTGGAGCACAGATCCAATTCCCTAAATTAAGAGCCCCTCACCAACATCAAGGAACCTTCCATGAGGGGTTCCTATCCCCAGCCTCTCGCTAAAGATAAAAATTTATTTTATTTATTCTTTCTTCCCCCAAAAAAGACAGAAGCTATCTCAGTTTTTTCTTTATTTTTTTAAGTATTTCGACCCTTCTGTTTTGATGCCGGAGGGGGCTCTTGATCCAAGGAACTGGATTTGTCCTTCTCATCTTTGAATCAAACCTGATTACGTCTCATTCATGGGACCCCAATGAAAACCAAGGATCCCAATGTAAAGCAAGGATCCCAATGTAAATCAAGGATCCCAATGGAAATCAAGGACCCAATGGAAATAAGTCACTGGCTTTTTGGGGGGTTATCCTAGGTAATTTACACATATTTTACTATGTATGATAATTGTACTTATGTATACCTCTACCTAAATAAACTTACTTTGTACTGTTATCCATATTTGCTGGAACACCAGTGTTTGCTAGATGCTCATGGCTCAGCTTCCACACACACACACACACACACACACACACACACACACACACACAGGTTTAAAGTTCGATTCTTGGTATGGGTGGAAATGCTGGGCAAGTTTCCTTACACCTTATGTCTTGGTTTACCTAGCAGTACGTTGGTACCTGGGTGTTAGCTGACTGTTGTAGGTTGCATCCTGGAGGGACAAGATTAAAGGTTCCCAGTGGAAATAAGCCAGACTGTCTGATGACATCCTGACTATGTATTGTGCATTAATAATCCCTCAAAAAATCTTTTGTCTTTTTCTTCTGCTAATTTTTATATTACTTCTTTTTCTTATTCTTCTTATTATTATCTTCATTTTCTTCTTTTAATCCTGCTTGACTGCGGATTATGTTATAGTCATGTTCACGCATACAGTGCTTGAGGAATGGGAGACAATCATGTATGATCCAAAGAAGGGGAGGGCAGCTCCAGTTCTTCAGATCAAGAGACCTTCACTGGCATGATGGCTTCTCCATTAAAAGCTCATTTTTCCATAATTTTCTATAAGAATTTTCTGTCCAAACAAATATGATCAAGTTTGTCTTGGAGCTTCAAGCCCAGCAGTGTACACAGTGGACACAATCATTCACACTGTAACAAAGTGTATGCAGACAGGCCCCACTTTACAGTATTTTGCTTATACAACGGTTTTCAGTTAAACCCACTCTTCATTTATTTGAACTTCCTACAATAAATATATTTACCACTCACTATAAGCTAAGGACAAAAATATTTTTAGGTATGTGTGCTGATGCATTTTTTATGCATGGCTATATTGCTCATTTAATATATGATAGTGTGAACATGCTATCAGGCTTTTACATGCATTTGAAAGTGGTAAACAGCTATGATTCACTTTACAGTGATTTTTGCTTTGCAACAATAGCCTGGAACCTAACCTGCTGTATAAGCAGGGCCCTCCTGTACATGCTGGGTGTGTGTACCAACACAGCCAGTAGCAAAATCATCCACATTCCTGAGGTAGTGCCAAGGCTAAGCCAGCAGTAGCTAATGGAAACAGGGGAGTGATAAGAACACACCCTTGCAGAAGGCCTTCCATTTGAACAAAATGATGTGAACAAATGTTATTGATGCGGACACTAAAGTTTTATCTGTCATGAAGGCATTAAGAAAAAGTGGGAATTGGCCTTGCAAGCCAAAAGAATGGACCTAGGATAAGATGTGATATTACATACAGCATCATAAGCTTTCCCCCCCTCCCCCAAGATGAAAAAGAGGGCTAAGGCAAATCAACATTCAGCAAAGGCATCATGAATGTATGTACCAAGCTGGAAAAGAAGATTAATATTGGAATGGACCCTTCTGTAATGAAAATGATGTGGAGATGCACAACAGTGGGTCTCTATGTACTGTAACACTATTCTCCTGTTAAAAGTTCAAATTGGTTTATATGGAAGAATAAGAGTCTAGAGAAGTAGGTATATTTATTAAAATTGTAATAACTTTTACCATTTCCTTTCCCGAGTTCCTTGCATTTCCTCAGATGTTGTATTACCCCCATGGGTTTAGTGCACTCCCCATGAATGTAATGATAGGAGTGTGCAGGGGAAGGGGTTAGTGTAGGTGGGGAGGGGGTGCTCTCTGGTAGATAAGACACCACAGTGGTCACATAATGCCTGCCAGTTCTTACAGACACACAATGGCCATCCCTTCCTGAGGCATCTACACGAATCTCCAATACATGATGCTGAGAGCAGTTTTAGATACCCCCTTACCCCCATGGAACAAGGCTGGCCACAGGCAACTGCAGTTTAATGGAAAATAGCTCATTAGTCATCGACTCAGACCAGCAGTTTCAACAGCGTAGTGTGTATCATATTGAAAAAATAGCACGTAAACGGGATCCTCATCCGAAGGAGACCAACAGGTGGTGAAACATTAATGTTCCAACAGGTATAACCACTGCACATCTGTCACCACTATACTACACAAGTCTACATCTGAATGCCCAATCCCAGCAAATGCCTTTAGCCTGCCTTTTACTGTCAAATTATTAGCTGAAAGTGAACTTGAAACATATCTGAAATTCCAATAGCAAGTACAGTGGACCCCCGCTTTACGATCAGCTCCCAATGCGACCAATTATGTAAGTGCGTTTGTACGTGTATGTTTGGGGGTCTGAAATGGACTAATCTAATTCACAATATTCCTTATGGGAACAAATTCGTTCAGTAATGGCACCTGAACATACTTCTGGAATGAAATAATATCGTAAGCCGGAGGTCCAGTGTACATGTTAAATTATTATAATATTTAAGACGTACTAAACCTATATGGGCAATACAGTGCCTGAGGGAATAGGAGGCAGTCACGTTCAAGTAACAGAACTGGTCCAGTTCCTTGAATCAAGAACCCCCTCACCTGCATCAAGAATCACCTTTGAGGTTGGAGGGATCATATGTTAAAGCATTAGCTTTAGCAAGTACATTGGACCCCCAGTTAACAATATTTTTTCACTCCAAAAGTATGTTCAGGTGCCAGTACTGACCGAATTTGTTCCCATAAGGAATATTGTGAAGTAGATTAGTCCATTTCAGACCCCCAAACATACACGTGCAAACGCACTTACATAAATACACTTACATAATTGGTCGCATTCGGAGGTGATCGTTATGCGGGGGTCCACTGTACTAGAAATGTTATTTTTCACTGTTAAGACAAAATTATTTTTAATATTTACATAGAGGATTATTGATTAACCAGTTTTATTTTTCACTTTTTATTCAATTGCTATTGATTCTTAAATCTTCTTGTATATCACAAAACTAACACTGCAGTTTCAATACATAATATTTACAGATGTTCTGAATTTTTTAGATAACTTTTCACCCTATTAATTAAAAAATTGCAATAGACCCAACTTTATTTTCCACATAAAGTGTACAGGATGGCTTTCAATCTACTTACATGCTGTACTTATATTGTACTATTAAATTGAGTGATTTTTATTTGGTAATGAATGACTGAAACAAAGTCAATTATGTACTAATTACCCATCTATATGTACTGTACTTAGACTATCATGTCATATACAATTTCCTGCAATCACAGCAGGATGGCACAGACCCTAAAAATTTCTGCATAATGGTTAAGCTATCACATTTGTAAAGCAGGCACCATTTGCTTGCACTAAAACAAACATCTAAATAGAGTAGTGCATGTAAAAATACAGAGGGTTATGGGTAGTATGAGCTAAAAAAAATAAAAAAAAAACAGAATATACAAATAAAAGGACATATTAAAGTACAATGGCAAGCAATGAGCTAGCTAGCATTTCTGAAGGATGGTGACAAGTTCAACCGTGTGCACACTATACATACTACTGCAGCATAAATGCCACATGTAAATTTATCAAATTAAGTCATAAGGTTATTAACATTTTCTCCACAGCAATGCATAAATAGACAACCAGTGTCAGCCTGCCTAATACAGCAATAGCAACAAACAAGTCAAAATTCATACACAGTTTTAGCAACCTACTACAGTACCATTACAATGTTAGAGAATTTACCATCTTATGCCCAAGATATACTGCAGAGCATTATTTCAACAAGATCGGTAATGATACATTTTAGAAACGTCACTCAAACCATGAGAGAGTAAAGAAAGTATCCTGAAAATGGTTAATATAAGACGAGTTATCAGACAGGTGCACCCTAATGTTAATGGGTCAATAATGTTTTGCAAATATTAACTCAGTTGCCCTTTGCCCTCAGTGACTGGCTCTTCAGCAGTAATTCATGTATTTCAATCACAAGCAATCGGCAATTTTATATATTTTCTTCACAAGCATTCATTTACACCTGAATTTTATTTACAGTCAATGAGTAATATATATGTACTGTGCAAAAAATTATTCCTAACATATAATGCTTAGTGAACACAGCATCCAAGCATATATCCATGAGAAAACAGATGCAGAAGGCATGATGCAATTGCACTTTAGATGACCAGATATAAAATGCTTTGCTATAACCATTTAACTAACTACGTAAAAAAAATTATCTTTCATCGGTAGTTTGTGAACATTGTGGTGCATCAAATATGTTTAGCAAAAATCTTAAGCGAGATTTTTCTATGATTTAAAAAACATTTACCTGTAGCAATATGCTTGGGTAAAGAAAACCAATATATAAACTGAGCTTTACAACCTCACTGACTCAAACTTTTGTAGCACTTCTCATACATACTCTTAATAAATCTTCACTAAAGATAAAGACACTTTTCTACTAGGTGACTGATTATACTGATACGTATAATTTAATCATCTTGTATTATATGTATGGCACTAACAAACCCACACAATAAAGCAGATAATAAGACTGGAACCGTATATGTTATATTCACACTGAGGCCCTCTTCAGCAAAGTATACTGAGATATAGCTTATACAAAGGCAGGTCACGAAACCAACTTGTATGACCTTCCTTTGTATACAAACATTATCTAAGGTACGGTGTGCAGCCTTAATTTGTGTGCGAGATGTACAGTTCTCTTCTTATTTTGCTTGTCACCATGTAAATAAGTTTGAGCCACTAATCAGTGCTCATCACACTTGTGTTTAGATACATACATGCATACATACGCACACAGTTAGGAATTTTTTTTTTTTTAGTCTTAGGCTGTAGAAAAGTGGAATGAGTTGAACAAGGAAATGGTAGTGACAAATTAAATACACAGTTCTGATAGAAGGCATGTTAAAATCCAAGAGGCAATATGTCAGTAATACATGTCAAGGGAACATAAGAAGCAGGGTCAGGAGTTGAGAGAGAACCACTGTAAACATAAATCAGTGATTACAGCACATTTTTATTTATTCTTTTATTTCAAAGGGTGTAGAATTAATAGACATAATGCATGACAATTCACAGCAAATAACAGCAGAACACATTCTGGGAGCAAGTGAGATAAATATAATAAAGGGGTATTTAAAGGCTTGTGCCAAGACTAATGAGAGTAGAACCTCGAAGCATAAATACATCAAGTAACTGGTCTACATGTATTTAAGGCATGAATGCTTTGTTACCCTGGCTTTGCTGAAGAATAAGTAGGAAAAATTATGAAAAGTGAAAAATTAAAAACACAAGAAATGGATTCAAAATGTAAAAATGAAGAATTTTTAAAATAAAAACTAATTACCACATAAAAGGTGGTAAATAATATCCACAAAAAGCACTTTTAAATGAACTCCCTTTATACATTAACAAAGAAGAGTAAATATTTGAGATGACCCTTTTGGCAAAGAAAGTATCAAATTTTAACTGCAAGCAAATTATCAAAGAGTAATGAAGGATAAAGTAACTCACTAGCAGGCCAAGACATGAAAATTTACACTGGTTTACTAGTGAAACAAGTTTAGCATTCAAGTATGTGTATCCTGGAGAGGGTACACAGCTAAGGCTTTTTTTTTTTAATCAGAGATGAATGAGTACAGTAAGTAATGTAGAAATCTGAATAAAAAATGATACAGTGAAGAGCTGCAAACAAAGAAAATGTACAAACATGTGAAGAGAATTATTAGAAATTGGATGTTAGAGTGAAGTAATTCATGTTAACAAAAGACAAAGTTAACTGGAAAGGCAGTGAGGAAATACATGTGTGAAATTTTTTTTTCCACAGATACCTGCTGTACAGTAGAAGTTGTCTAGTAGCGTGGTCTACGAAGGAAATTGTTTCTCTTTACACATGAAGGTAGAACATGATATCATTGCATGGTATATATAATGGAGAAATTCATGTTTAATGTCTGTCTAAATATATATGTCAATATCTTACTACGAATAAAAAAATGATGCCTATACAGTGATTGACCAAAGGTCCACCCGTGTTACAGATATACTTATGTGGTACATAATACAAATAGAAAATTAAATGTAGTAAATTGCAACCATATATGTTATAATGACAGCACCTTAAAATGACTTTTAAACATACAATGCTAAATTCTACAGTAACTTGTGTTTTGTGTGAACCATCTGTTCTCTCTGGTCACTTATTGCCATAAGGTAGAAATGTACTAGAGTATTGTACTTAAACCATGAATATGGCAAAACTGACAAGAAAATGAGAGCTCAGATACCTTTCATCATACATTATATAAAAAAAAAACGAAAATGTGCCTCCAGAGCCTTCTATATACAAAGTGGAATATCATGTACATTGTGTATGCAATAATATTGTGAAAACATTAGAAATTATACCTTTATGACTCAATGAAACCAGTAAAGTGTGTGAAATTAGACAAATGCCAAAGCATAGAGTGTGTGCCACACCAATTACTGATCAATAATGTGACTGTCGAGGATAATGGCAGCAACTCTTGCCATTCTGCCAAATCCGATGTCCTATGACAAATCACAAGTGATAGCCTCCCCTTGACCTCTGAGAAAAGTTCTGGGGACGAGGCCAACCTGTTCCGTCAGTCAGGTCGCAGTATATCTTTTTTGGGAATAACTTCTATCACCAAAACCTGAAATGAGATACATATTAATGTAAACTAGAACAATCACTCATCAGGACGTTTTCACCAACATTACATTTAAAAGTCATAAAACTAATAATCAGTACAAATAGCATCAGAAATTTAACTATGACCTTATCATTAAACATAGTATTGTATGCACTGTCTACACAAAACAGCTCTTTGGCATCAAATTTATTTATGCAGGAAAAATAGAAAATGCTGGAAGAAAATAATTTGATGAATAATATGGAACTGCCCACTCAGTTTAAATGGGAATTCCAGTTTGTGGAGGAGTACCATGGTGCAACCACTACAGGAAGGGCATCAGATATTTAGCCCACATGACAATTAAAATGAAAATAAGACAGCAGTGCTAAACCCTTTTAGGCCATACACTGCATTGGTATTATGCACAGTACACTGCATTCCTTAATCTATCCCATACCTCTTCAACCTCCTCATTACCGTACTCTCCATCCAATCTTTCTACTAAAAGTTGCTCATTTCTTCCGCTGTCTCTGATTTATTAATTTACATTTCTCTTACCTACCCATGCCATTCTCCTTGTATGCCATCTGCCTTAAACTCTTTACTGTAGCTATCACTAAATAATGATCTAACATATGTATCAATCACCAAAAACACTGCATATCCAAAAGTTTACCCATCAACATATCCAATAAATGCTATCACTGCACACTATACCATAACTTGTAAACTTATTTTCATCTTTCTTAAAGTATTACCTATAACCAAACCACTTTCTAGACAACTGAATTAGATAAAAGGACACAAGTGCAACTAATGTGACATTTTATTGTGGCAATGTTTTGCTCTCCAGGAGCTTTGTCAAGTCGTTGACAAAACTCTTGGAGACCAAAATGTTACCACAATAAAACGTCACATTAGTTGCACTTGTGTCCTTTTACCTAACATATTGTCGGTAATTCTACCAACATTTTTACAACTGAATTAGAGGCCCACCATTATCATTTACCTCTGGCACTCTAAATTATGCTCTTTACAATAGTCTCCCCTACATTAATTGTGGTTGTCTAAAATGCTATTCTCTCATAGTCCAGAACTCTTAACACCTCCCAAAAATCTCTCCCCTATACTCCTCTTGCCTGCAAGTGCACAAACACGTAGTGTAACTTCCTTCTCAAATTCCACTTTTACTCTAATCAGCATAATTCTTTAAATTAAGCACTCATACTCCTCTCTCTTTACTTTTCACAGTTCATCATTTAATATTATCACTTTTCCTTTAGCTTTAGTTTTCTCATTCACTGTATTTAGCCCCATTTACTCCTCCCCATTGAAATTCTCTCACTCCTTTTAGCTTTGTTTCACTCAGTGCTAGAACATTCAGCTTTCTTTCATAACATTATCACTCAAATCTTTTTTTTATCTGTACTACACCCATGCACATAGAAACAGCTCAATATCAGAATTTCTATCTTTGCTTTTTTTATTAATTGTTACAAAAGAGGAGTTACTAACCCTCGGCTTCATGCATTTTAGTCGCTTTCTATGACACTCATTTCTTACGCAGGAGGTACTGAAAGGTAACACTTCAAAGACACACACGTGTTTATACACAGTCACCTGTAGTTTATGCAGTACGGTTTATAAATATAAGACTAGAAACACTCCTAGGATATTTATACAGTTGAGAATCCTTTATTCGAAATACTCTGGACTGGAACTGTTTTGGATTTTGGATTTTGGGTTTTGGAATATTTGAATATTTGCATCTATATATAGTGGAACCTTGGTTTTCGTATACCCTAGTTTGTATGTAAAACTATAATTTTTTTTTTTAATAAGTCTCCCACCGAGGCAGGGTGACCCAAAAAGAAAGAAAAAATCCCCCAAAAGAAAATACTTTTATCATCATTCAACATTTTCACCTCATTCACACATAATCACTGTTTTTGCAGAGGTGCTCAGAACACAACAGTTTAGAAGCATATATGTATAAAGATACACAACATATCCCTCCAAACTGCCAATATCCCAAACCCCTCCTTTAGAATGCAGGCATTGTACTTCCCATTTCCGGGACTCAAGTCCGGCTATATGAAAATAACCGGTTTCCCTAAATCCCTCCACTAAATATTACCCTGCTCACACTCCAACAGCTCGTCAGGTCCCAAATACCATTCGTCTCCATTCACTCCTATCAAACACGCTCACGCACGCCTGCTGGAAGTCCAAGCCCCTCGCCCACAAAACCTATCTTACCCCTTCCTTCCAACCTTTTTCGAGGACGACCCCTACCCCGCCTTCCTTCCCCTACAGATTTAATCTATCAAGTGATACCATATAAACCAACCAAAAATACACCACAAAGTTGCTATTCTAAACCATACACACAGTCAGATTTATTTTTTCTATCATGCACTGTGTGGGGCAGGTTTTTTAATATGATGCACACTCACCACACAGACCCATTCTCTCGTATCTAGGCCAAAATTTACGCCTTACAGCTTATCTGAGTGAGCTGAGCTCATCAAGCAGCACTACAGCATGGACTCTGAGCTCAAGCCATAGTACTATGACACAGACCTAGAAAGAGTTAATAAGTAAATGAGTTAATAAGTTAATGAACAAAAATATTATTACCAAGTGGTTTGATGGTAAAAAGGTGAATTAACCAACTGATACTACTCATAGTTTATCCCACTCCATCGCTTGGTTTACCTTAGCTTGCCAGTGCTAAGCACCAATGAATTTTTATGATTATTTTTATTATTTATTCATTAATTTACACAAAATTGTTTACATAATTCATTACTAGGTCATATACAGGAGCTTAGATTACTGTCTAGATTAGATTGAGGCCTATAAGCAAAGTAATCTTCGGCCTCCAAAACAATGGGTAAGTTTTCAAGATATATTTTAGAAAAAATAGTGCATTTGACGTTGTAAAATACGGTAATTACTCCTGACAACAAACTGGCACTAGTACAAATATGAAGCTTGTCTGTCTCAGCTCAACAAACGGAGGGTGGAGCCTCCACCACATCTTGTACTGAATTATCCATTTGTGGTGCATCATGTCAACACTAAAAACATTCAGATTTTGGAATTTCAAATGAAGGATTCTGTACTGTATAGTACTAATAATTTTTTTAAATTTTAAGTGTGGAGGCTGACAAATGCTTATCCTGAGATCACATGGAAACAATACAATCCATGGCAACCAAAACTGGCTGAAGGCAGTGGAGATGCTGTATCTAAGGGCAATTTTTTTTTTTATTATTATCACACTGGCCGATTCCCACCAAGGCAGGGTGGCCCAAAAAAGAAAAACTTTCACCATCATTCACTCCATCACTGTCTTGCCAGAAGGGTGCTTTACACTACAGTTTTTAAACTGCAACATTAACACCCCTCCTTCAGAGTGAGGCACTGTACTTCCCATCTCCAGGACTCAAGTCCGGCCTGCCGGTTTCCCTGAACCCCTTCATAAATGTTACTTTGCTTACACTCCAACAGCACGTCAAGTATTAAAAACCATTTGTCTCCATTCACTCCTATCAAACATGCTCACGCATGCCTGCTGGAAGTCCAAGCCCCTCGCACACAAAACCTCCTTTACCCCCTCCCTCCAACCTTTCCTAGGCCGACCCCTACCCCGCCTTCCTTCCACTACAGACTGATACACTCTTGAAGTCACTCTGTTTCTCTCCATTCTCTCTACATGTCCGAACCACCTCAACAACCCTTCCTCAGCCCTCTGGACAACAGTTTTGGTAATCCCGCACCTCCTCCTAACTTCCAAACTACGAATTCTCTGCATTATATTCACACCACACATTGCCCTCAGACATGACATCTCCACTGCCTCCAGCCTTCTCCTTGCTGCAACATTCATCACCCATGCTTCACACCCATATAAGAGCGTTGGTAAAACTATACTCTCATACATTCCTCTCTTTGCCTCCAAGGACAAAGTTCTTAGTCTCCACAGACTCCTAAGTGCACCACTCACCCTTTTCCCCTCATCAATTCTATGATTCATCTCATCTTTCATAGACCCATCCGCTGACACGTCCACTCCCAAATATCTGAATACATTCACCTCCTCCATACTCTCTCCCTCCAGTCTGATATCCAATCTTTCATCACCTAATATTTTTGTTATCCTCATAACCTTACTCTTTCCTGTATTCACTTTTAATTTTCTTCTTTTGCACACCCTACCAAATTCATCCACCAATCTCTGCAACTTCTCTTCAGAATCTCCCAAGAGCACAGTGTCATCAGCAAAGAGCAACTGTGACAACTCCCACTTTATGTGTGATTCTTTATCTTTTAACTCCACGCCTCTTGCAATGTGTGGTGTAAATATTATGCAGAAAATTCGTAGTGTGGAAATTATGAGGTGTGAAGTTACTAGAGGTATTGTCGAGAGGGCTGAAGAGGGGCTGGTGAGGTGGTTTGGTCATTTAAAGGGAATGGATCAAAGTAGAATGACTTAGAGAGCGTATAAATCTGTAGGGAAAGGAAGGCGGGGTTGGGGTCGTCCTAGGGAAGCTTGGAGGGAAGGGATAAAGGAGATTTTGTGGGTGAGGGGCTTGGATTTCCAGCAAGCATGTGTGAGTGTAAATATTATGCAGAAAATTCGGAGTGTGAAAATTAGGAGAAGGTGTGGAGTTAATAAAAGCATTAGTCAGAGGGCAGAAGAGGGGTTGTTGAGGTGGTTTGGTCATTTAGAGAGAATGGATCAAAGTAGAATGACATGGAAAGCATATAAATCTATAGGGGAAGGAAAGAGGGTAGGGTCGTCCTCGAAAGGGTTGGAAAGAGAGGGTAAAGGAGGTTTTGTGGCGAGGGGCTTGGACTTCCAGCAAGCGTGCATGAGCGTGTTAGATAGGAGTGAATGGAGACGAATGATACTTGGGACCTGACGATCTGTTGGAGTGTGAGCAGGGTAATATTTAGTGAAGGGATTCAGGGAAACCGGTTATTTTCTTATAGTCGGACTTGAGTCCTGGAAATGGGAAGTACAATGCCTGCACTTTAAAGGAGGGGTTTGGGATATTGGCAGTTTGGAGGGATATGTTGTGTATCTTTATACGTATATGCTTCTAAACTGTTGTATTCTGAGCACCTCTGCAAAAGCAGTGATAATGTGTGAGTGTGGTGAAAGTGTTGAATGATGATGAAAGTATTTTCTTTTTGGGGATTTTCTTTCTTTTTTGGGTCACCCTGCCTCGGTGGGAGACGACCAACTTGTTGAAAAAAAAAAAAAAATGTGTGAGCGTTTTAGATAAGAGTGAATGGAGATGAATAGTTTTTGAAACCTGACGAGCTGTTGGAGTGTAAACAGGGTAATATTTTATGAAGGGATTGAGGGAAACTGGTTAGCTGGACTCGAGTCCTGGAGGTGGGAAGTACAATGCCTGCACTTTAAAAGAGGGGTTTGGGATATTGGCTGCTCAGAGTGACATCTAAACTGCTGTATCTGAGCACCTCTGCAAAGACAGTGATTATGTATGAATGATGGTGAAAATGTTGAACAATGATGAAAAATTTTTCCTTCTTTTTGGATCACCTACTGCCTTAGTGGGAAACAGCCAATGTGTTAAAAAAAAAAGTGTACAGTGTAAACCAGTACATCCCCCCCCCCCCAAAAAAAAAAAACTAATACATACAAAATACTTACATATTCCATAAGTGAAGAATTGTCACAGCGTTGTCTTGAGAGCCGCCAGTGTAGACCAAGTTTGTGATACAGGTTGGTATTTTCTGCTTCTAAAGTCTTTTCTATTGCATTTCGAGTCTAGAATGAAAACGTTGTACAGTATTAAATAAAATTAATGCTCTCTAAATTAACAAAAAAAAATGGTAACATTATGCTGTAAATACTTTAAGGTCTGCTTTACCAGCAGTTCATATTTTGCTATAAAGCAAAAGCATGTACTGTAATATTTTTATAACTTAGTTCCAGTTAACATCTGCCCAACGTCCTGCACATAACTAGAATTTTTTTTTAATTTGTACATAAATTGTACACAAATTTTTACATAATTTGTACATAAATTGTAATATCTATGTAAAGTACTGTTTAACACATTATTGCTTTTTTTTAAATAACAATTTTTATTATTAGATTTTTCTTTTAATTTCAAAAGGTACACAGCATCTACAAATGCTGACAAGAAGGAGTATTTACAAGATTCTACCTAAATGTTTTTCCATCTTTCTATAAAATTGTGTGCAGCCAGCAGTAACAGCCTGGTTGATCAGGCCCTGATCCATCTTGAGGCCTGGTCACAGACTGGGCCGTGAGGGCGTTGATCCCTGAAACTCTCTCCAGTTAAGAGAACCTACATTTTAATGAATCCAATTGAGATTGCGAAGAAAATCAAGAATTTCCAAACAATTAATGCATACTTTTAATAAACTTTTTTATATTGATCTTACAAAAAATTAATGGGCCAAAAAAAAACAGTAAAGTTGGTCAGGCTAGGCTTGCTTATTTTTTAACTCTGGCCATCTCCCCACTGAGGAATGGGACAATCCCCCCAAAACAAGACACATTCACCATCATTCATTAGATAGCCATCTTACCAGAAGTGTGCAGACATCACAATTTAAGTGATCCTCTAAATCGCAACATCCCCACCCTTCTTCAGAGTGCAGGTACTGTATAGGATTCAGGTCCAGCTGAACAGGTTCCCTGAATTCCTTCATAAATGTTACCCTACACTGGAACAGCCCATCAAGCCATAAAAACTACTTTCCTCCACTCTGTTTGATCTAACACACTCACAAGCCTACTGGAAGTCTAATCCCCTAGCTCAAAACCTCCTTTACCCCCTTTAGGTTTCATGTACTGTAGATAAAAGTGGAGCCATGAACCACTGTATTGTTTAGAAAACTCACTATTCCTTGGTGCTTTCATAAATCTTCACTGGACAAATGAGGTTGTCCTGATAATATGGCTTTTGCAACTTGGAAATCCTTCTCTTATACAGTTTAATACTGTATGATGTTAATTACACATGCATGATAAACTGCAGCCTGGACTAAGGTACTGTACCTTCAAATACAAACATAACCTTTAACAAAATTATGGCACCACACACACACTAATCCAAGCCACCAATTACAAGTCGGCCATCACTAATCCGGCATCAATGGGACCTGTCGTGTGCCGGATTAGTGAGCTTGCCGGATTACAGAGTGGTTAGGTTAGAATACACTTAATTAACCTATCAAGAGAGAGACTTTCTGTTACATCTTCCTCATTTTCATCACTGCTTTCTCCCTCACTGGTTTGCTGCTGTGGATTTACAACCATCTGCACAATTTCTGAGTCAGTATAATAATGAAATTTGAGTCAGTATAATGATGAAATTTGAAATTATGCTAGCTGAAATTAGTGCCGGATTACTGATGGAACCAGATAACTGATTGCCAGATTAGTGATGGCCGACCTGTACTGACTATGCTTTCTCAAGAAAGGTACACTTTACTGTTATATTTAAATGTGACAGAATACTATGTAAATAAATCACAACAAATCTTAAAATATATTTAATAAATGAATTAATATTTAAATACTTACTTACCCTTTTACTAAGACAAATTACTGGCCAGAGAGAGCAACCACAGGTACACAAGCAGAAACAGCAGCCACAGAGAAGCCACCGAGCAGATACTGGTAGCGTCTTCCTGAGAACAGTGTTTACACGGCCAACCGAGCCTGTAAATTCTTCTGGAGCTAATCTGCCAGTCAACGCACTTGGGAAATCTCGACAAAAGCGGTTACTTAGGCCGAACCTGTCACAAAAATAAGTCAATGATACAATACAGTATATAACATACACACTGTAAGACTACTGATATAATATGAAGATTAAATATTCTCTAAGAAAAACATGGTTATGATTTCATTAGCCTTCAATATACAGTGAAACCTCAAATTTCGAACTTAATCCGTTCCAGGAGCTAATTCTAAAGTCGAAAAGTTTGAAAGGCGAAGCAATATTTCCCATAAGAAATAATGGAAATACAATTAATTCGTTCCAGAAACCCAAACATATTCACAAAAAAATACATTTTATAGATAGTATTACATTATAGTTTTACATACACACAACAAATATAGTGTACAATTATTAATAAATTTAAATAAACACATAAAATAACATTTTTACTCACCTTTATTGAAGATTGGTGATGGCATCTGGAAGACAGGGAGGAGGAAAGAGGGAGTTGGGGTTAGTGTTTGGAAGGGGAATCCCCTTCCATAAGGACTTTAGGTGTCAAAGCCCTCTCTGGGGTTACTTCCCTTCTCTGTCTTGTAATGCCACTAGGACCAGCTTGAGAGTCACTGGACCCCTGTCTCACAAAATAATTGTCCACAGTCCTCTGTTTCTGGTGCCTCTTTTAAGATTTCCCTAAAATGGGACATGGTTCTGCCACTGAACTTGTTGCAAAGATGGCTTGTTTCAGCTTGCTCAGAGTGGTACATCTCCACAAACATTTGGACATCATTCTACTTGGCACAAATCTCCTTAATCTTAATCTTTCTTTACCACATGGTAGCTTATTTCACAGTCCTACAAGCACTAAACACAATGAATTAATCGTAAAATGTTTGAATGAGACTGCAGGTTAGTGTTAACTCAAGCATCAACAAAACCAGACTGGCTCACAGCGCCTACATGGGGACGCGGACAGAGCAGGCTAGTGGACAGGTCCGGTACCCGGCAGTTTGAAAGAAGGAGCAAGTTCGATAATAGGGACAAAGTTGGTTCGAAAAAAGCAGTCGATTTTCGAAGAGTTCGGTAAGCGATACGTTTGAAATTTGAGGTTCCATTGTATCACTCATTTTTAGTGTTAAGTATATAAATCAGAGATATACAATAAGTGAAAAGAAAAAAATTAGCTGTACCTATTTTTATGAAGTTTAATAAAATTTGTATAAAATGAAATTTTGAGACATTTTTCAATTTTAATGTATTGTAGCCTTATAAAAATGCTGAGTACCAGACATTCTCTCAGTGAATCTTAAGTAGATTTAAACACTCACTAGAAAAAATAGTTTGCCATGACTTAAGAAAATGTTTCCATACAAAAGGGTGATGGAGTGATGCCATTAACAAAATTATCATACTTTCTTTTTTTAATTAAGAAGCATACAAGATTACATTGAAGGTTGCTGTAATTCTTCTTTTTCTTTATTAACACATTGCTGTTTACAACCAAGGCAGGGTGACCCAAAAAAGAAGAAATACTTTCATCATCACTCACTCCATCACTGTCTTGCCAGAGATGTGCCTACACTACAATTAAAAACTGCAACATATCTCCACCCCTCCTTTAGAGCACAGGCCCTGTACTTCCCACTTCCAGGACTCAAATCCAGCTAACTGGTTTACCTGAATTCTTTCATAAATGTTACTTGGCTCACGCTCCAACAGCATATCAAGCAATAAAAACCATTGGCCTCCACTCACTTCTAGCTAACACACTTACGCACACTTGCTGGAAGTCTAAGCCCCTCACGTACAAAACCTCCTTTACCCCCTCCCTCCAACCCTTTCTTTATAGAATGACCCATACCCCACCTTCCTTCCACTACATATTTATACTCCCTCCAAGTCATTTTATTTTGTTTCATTTCTCTCTAAATGTCTGAACTACCTCAACAACCCCTTCTCAGTCCTCTGGCTAATACTTTTAGAAACCCCAAATCTCCTTCTAATCTCCAAGCCATGGATTTCTCTGCATAATATTCACACCATACACAACCCTCACAAGACATCTCCACTGCCTCCAGCCTTCTCCTTGTTGCAACATTCACCACCCATGCTACAAAATTATACGTTTCTATATGCCTGGTGCATACAGTTACAGAGGAGAAAAATATAAAATGCTAAATGAAAATTTGACAGTAGGAATTGCCCTAAAGATTTCTTCAAATATGTCAGGGCAAAGAAAAATATAATGTACTTCTCTGCCAAATGTGGTGGTGTACATATGCTTCACATTCTTCTTAATACTACTTCTCCAGGATAATTATTCTCTTTAATTGCCTGCTAGGTATGTCACTGATTGGGGGACCAATACTTCAGCTACTTTTTCCACGTTGCAGATATTTGAATGGCAATGGGGATGAAGCTGGTTACTAACTCAGGTATGATGTGACTGTTTCACTTTGCCAAGGATTGGGTGTGGAGGTGTCCTGACTTAAAAGTAAACACTTGTTCCCTTCAGGTTTAAAGATGCTTATCTCATCTTCCTTGTTCGTGCAGACTGGGTAATTTTTCTTTCTCAAGCACTGGGAGGTAGGGCTGTATGTGGCATCAATGCCCTTTCTATCTTAACAAAAATACTAATGCAAGAAACAAGTAGCTTCAGTACTAGACACAGCCTTAGGCATTATACTATACAAATGTCATTCATAATATGCTATACCTGTGTTCCAGGCCCACGGCAAAAGTAATATACGTACAGGTACTTTACTGCAATCAGGTTTGATAAGAGGAAGGGGAGGGAGAGGGCAGCTCCAAATCCTTGATCAAGACCCCTTTATCAGCATCAAGGCTTAAAAATACTGAACATTAGCTTCCCTGGCTGAGAGACTGATTATCTCAACTTGCACCATCTTCTGAGTATAGTTCTGTAAGGCTGAGGGACTGATTACCACACCTCCTACTGTCTTTGTACGTCATCTCCATTGAACTGAAGAAGCCACTGGTTGGCAAAGCATTTTCAAGTAAGGATACTCAGTTGTTGCATATCTTGTCAGTACTGTATACCATTATGGTCATGATAACTCTGGTATACCATTATGGTAACGATACCTCTGTATACCATTATGGTAATGATACCTCTGATTGAAGACTGCAGGGCAAGCAAAACATCTCAGCAATAAAGATACACTGTTAATGTTCTTATGTATCTCATCTTAATGTCCTTATGTATCTCATCTTTATTTGACACACTTAAGCACTGATGTCTTGGCTTCAGAGTTCTGCTTTGAAATCTGAAGAAGCCAGACAAAACAAGTGTTGGGTAAAGTATGTCCATCATTAATTATTTTCATGGGAAGCACAAATTACTATTATTATAATTATGGGGAAGAACTAAACCCGTTGGCTTACACAGCGCATGTGGGCGGGATGAAAGGTATTCAGGCTTAATTCAAGGAACTGGAGCACAGATTCAATCCCCTAGATCAAGAGCCCCTCAACAGCATCAAGGAACTTCCCTTGAGGGGAGGGAAGCACAAAACCTGTTGGAATTAACCAGCAAAACCTCATAAGAATTAAGAAAGTGAATTATTATTATAATCTTAACTAAGTGCTAAACCCAAAAGGGTCATTAAAGAAGTGAATGGGGAGACATATCCTTGGATCAAGAGCCCTTCAATGACATCAAGGCATTCCATTAAAAGGAAAGGGTTTTAATGCAGTGCAGTAAACTAATTATGTTAATAATAATAAAAAAATACATAATAATTAAAAATTAAATAAAAAACTCAGGCTGTGAAAAACTAACCCTGTTAACCTTTCCGAGTGTACAACAGTAACCCAGTTAACCTTTTAAGATCAAATCTTAAAACACAATTCATGGAATACGCCTCTTGTTCTAAATTAATGATGACATGATTTGTTATATGGGGAAATAACATCCCTATTGTGTAATTATTTCCACGTTAATCCCGCAGAGGTGCTACTGAAATTCCTGAAGCTAGACAATGCCAGCAGAGAGCACCTTATATACACCCTGTGTAGCCCTCTAACACAGGTATACTTACACAGTAATGTTGCCCGCTCCTCTTATAATAACTGGCTCGGGGGTCTGTGTGTAAGATTCCAAGGAGGAGGAAGAATTATCCTCTTCATCCCTCTCGATAGTGTTGATGGCATCGAAATCTGCCATCTTTGTTTATACTAAGACAGACAGAGAGAGCGGTCCATATATTATCTCATATATTCTTCCAACCTTCACTCATTTCACATACGCTCTAAGAGATTTCAGGGAAAAATTATAATCAGTATTGTTTGTGACTATGAAAATGGGTGAAGGGTTACCGGAGGAGAAGAGGGTGTAATAATTGTATGTTAGGTGGGTTATGGTGTAGGCCGGTGGTAGCTTCATGGTCACTATATACCTCCCACCACCACCAGTCACACCATCATAGTGACGCAATTCAACACTCCCATTTATGTGTATATCAATGGTTTCAGAGAACCATTGAGTCGTTGTAATCAGTCCATCCATCTTGATGGACTGATTATATCGACTCCAGGCTGAGTGACTGATTACATTGACTCCAGGCTGAGGGACTGATTACATTGACTCCAGGCTGAGGGACTGATTACATTGACTCCAGGCTGAGGGACTGATTACATTGACTCCAGGCTGAGGGACTGATTACATTGACTCCAGGCTGAGGGACTGATTACATTGACTCCAGGCTGAGGGACTGATTACATTGACTCCAGGCTGAGGGACTGATTACATCGACTCCAGGCTGAGGGACTGATTACATCGACTCCAGTCTGAGGGACTGATTACATCGACTCCAGGCTGAGGGACTGATTACATCGACTCCAGGCTGAGGGACTGATTAACTCAATCTCATGAGCTTCACTATTCTTCCTAGTACTGGACTGATGAAGCCACTGTGTGGTTGAATATACTAAATAGTTATAATCGTAATTAAAATTTTGAAGATGTGGACCTGTAAGCCAGGGAAAGGCCTCGGTCAGATAACCAAAAGTTCCAGCTGTGGGTCATCATATAACTGAGACCCGCGTCAAGAAACACTTGTCCCGTTTCCTGACAAACCTTACCTAACCTGTGTGGCGAAATACCGAAGTGTTGCACATGTGTCTAATTTATCAATTACCATTTACATACTAGTACGTCACCCCACCTATTACCTACTATTTACCCGTGTATAGAGAACAGTTAGAAGTGATCAAGGTCCCAGGACCGAAACGTTTTCTAATAAATATGCTATAGTGTTTGCTTTCTAAACCATAGAGAACAGCCTTTCTGGTCGAAGACTGGAAGCGATTATCAGTCGGAGGATGAAGCCTCTACCACTGTGCTAAACCAATACGGACTTAGTCCCTCGTGTGCATAAAACACAAATGTTTTATGCACACAATATAAACACATTTGGCTAGCTTACTTTAGTGATTGTAAAATGTAAGTAAGTTTATTTAAGTACAGGTGCGCATAAGTACAATTACAGTATGTAGTTTAACTTATGTGTGAATTACCTAGAATAATCCCCCCCCCCCCCCCAAAAAAAAAAAAAAAGTCAGTGACATTTCAATTGGAGTCTTTGTAATGATCACTTGTCAAGTAGACTAAAAACATACAAACGCATTAAGAAAACACACAAGTAAACTAATAAAACCCATAAATAGACTAAGAAAGCACAAATGGAATATTTGTATATTTCGACCTCCAGCTAAGGCCATCTTCATCTGGAGGGTTCCTTTAGACATCCACGGTTACGTGCCTAGAACATTTGCATGACCTCAGAATGATGGTGACCTGTGAATGGGGCCCTCATGTAACTATGTCTTCTAGAGCTACATCGTTCTACTTCCATTTATTCCACTACTAGCTTGACCACTGTCTTCCTTGTCTCTTCAACAATTGCTAAATTTCTTGTTCCATCTTCCGGGTCTGACCCACTTTCCAGTCTTATGTCTCAGCACCACTGTGATCATCATCCACCACAGTGACCGGAGTTATAAAGGTAATAAAGTTTTCTCCGGAAAGAGAAACGGGAATAATTAGGTCTCGTCCCAGCGGTCCGGTACATGACCAGGCCTAGCAGTGGATCAGGGCCTGATCAACCAGGCTGTTACTGCTGGCCTCACGGAAATCGAGGCACGAATCACAGCCCGGCTGGTCAGGAACTATCTTTACGTACCTGTCCAGCTTCCTCTTGAAGACAGCCTGGGGTCTAGGTTATGCTAGATAAGATTTGTCAGGAAATGGGACTAGTGTTTCCTGACGCGGGTCTTAGTCATATGATGATCCACAGCTGGAGCTTTTGATCATCTGACCGAGGCCTTCCGCTGGCTTACCGATCTACCCTTTTAAAAACAATGGTTATGATTATAACCATTTTTTAGCCAGAGGTCTGATGGTAATCCCCCTTATGTATGCTGGAAGGAAGGTGAACAATCTTGGGCCCCTGACACTTATTGTGTTGTCTCTTAGCGTACCTGTGGCTACCCTGCTTTTCATTTGGGAGGATGTTACACCGCCTGCCAAGTCTTTTGCTTTCGAAGGGAGTGATTACCTCTACGATTTTCCAAGTGTATATTATCATGTATCTTCCTCGCCTGCATTCCAAGGAATACAGGTCAAAGGACTTCAACCGTTACCAGTAATTTAGGTGCTTTATTGTAGAAGAAACTACTGAGTAGCCAAATATGACCAGATACCTCAAAGGCAATGGGAAGATTGAACCTCCAGTCATTGTAATGACTGACCCGCATGGGTTTAGCGCTTCGTATAAAAAATATTATTATAAAAATCCGTGGGTTTTGAGAGAGGACTTGGGGGTTTATGGTAAGCAGCAACCTTAAACCAAGACAGCAGTGCTTAAGCGTACGTAATAAGGCACACAGATTACTGAGATTTATATCAAGTGTAGGCAACAGCTTTATACATCATTAGTAAAGCCTCACCTAGATTATGCAGCTCAGTTCTGGTCTCACTATTATAGCCTGGATGTAAATTCATTAGTAAATATTCAGCGAAGGATGACAACATTAATAAATAGCATAAGAAATCTTCCATATGAAGAAAGATTGAAGTCCCTTAAATTATATTTATCAGTAAGACGAAGAATGAGGGGAGACATGATCGAAGTGTATAAGTAGATGATAGGTATTAATAAAGGGGATGTAAATAAAGTCTTAAGGATCTCCCTCCAACAGAGAACCTGCAGTAATGGATTCAAATTAGATAAGTTAAGATTTAGAAAGGTGTCATGTAGGGGGGTAATGAATGAATAGGATATAAGTGGGGGATATGGGAGTAAGGGATTATGTAGGCAGGGGAGAGGCAGGCGCGGTGTTAGGAGTGAGGTGATTAGCGGAGGTAGGTAGGTAATGACAGGTCAGTGGTGACCACCACGACATTCTCATTAACTCTACAATACTCACTAACATATGCCTCGCCCACTCTTCATTCATATATAAACATAATAAAATATAAGAAATAGGAATAGCAAATAACGGGGACAGTGAATATTATTATTCTACTCAAACACAGTTTATTATTAAGTCTTTGTACAATAATATATTTGGGAACAGAACATTATTGTGGTTTAGATAAATGGGGTGGTACACATAAGCAGTGAGACAGGGAATACAATCAACTTGACGAAAATGAATATAACTTACAATATAGCACAGAGGACAGTTCACTACAGGAACTAAGCCACAGGTCCCAAGACCTATACAGCACGAGTAATGCGCCAAGCCAGTACTCTGCCCACTGCCTCCAACAGTCTCCTCCAGAGACTTCAGCAGCCTTCTCCCGAGCCCTGCACCCCAGCAGCAGCTCCGCTCGAAGTCTCTGCTCAGGAGCTCTGCACCCCAGCAGCAGCTCCGCTCGAATCTCCTGATCATGCTCTTCTTTGGGCTTTTATGGTGGTCCAAGCACCCTCCACAACCACGTGTATGACCTGACGCCTAGTCTGAGGCGTCAAGAACAAAAGACCTCAGACGTAACTCCAGGTAAACTCTCCAGGACGTGGGCGTGGCTACAGACGTTTGCCAAGGCAAGGTGTGACCATATAATTGGTTAAATTAGGTCTCCCCAGAGACCTCACAAGCCCAGCTGGACTACATCACAAAGGATATAGGAAAGTTTTGGTTTGGAAATAGGGTAGTTGATGAGTGGAACAGTCTACCTAGTAGGGTTATTGAAGATTGAGACACTTATGCAACATATGGGAATCTTTATTCAGGAAACGTTTCGCCACACAGTGGCTTCATCAGTCCAATACAAAGCAGAAGGTGTAAGGAGAGGAGGAGTTTGATGTAATCAGTCCCTCATCCTGGAGTTGATGTGTTCAGTCCATCAATCTTGTAGAATATACAGCATAGTGCCGTAGACGTGGCTTATATACTGTAGTCAGGTGAGGCGAAGCAGGAGGAGGCGGGGTCATAGCGGTACCATATCCAGTAGTCGAAGTAGGTCTTCGTCCAAAGGTTGGACAAGTGTTGACGAATTCTTTGTAACAAGATCCCATGATGCTGCAGTGTCTGACAGTTGTGACGAAGACCTACTTCGACTACTGGATGGTACCACTGTGACCCCGCCTCCTCCTGCTTCGCCTCACCTGACTGCAGTACATAACCACATCTACGGCACTATGCTGTATATTCTACAAGATTGATGGACTGAACACATCGACTCCAGGCTGAGGGACTGATTACATCAAACTCCTCCTCTCATTACACCTGCTTTGTACTGGACTGATGAAGCTACTGTGTGGCGAAACGTTTCCTGAATAAAGATTTCCATACCTGGAGACCTGGAGAGAGTTCCGGGGGTCAACGCCCCCGCGGCCCGGTCTGAGACCAGGCCTCCTGGTGGATCAGAGCCTGATCAACCAGGCTGTTGCTGCTGGCTGCACGCAAACCAACATACGAGCCACAGCCCGGCTGATCCGGAACTGACTTTAGGTGCTTGTCCAGTGCCAGCTTGAAGACTGCCAGGGGTCTGTTGGTAATCCCCCTTATGTGTGCTGGGAGGCAGTTGAACAGTCTCGGGCCCCTGACACTTATTGTATGGTCTCTTAACGTGCTAGTGACACCCCTGCTTTTCATTGGGGGGATGGTGCATCGTCTGCCAAGTCTTTTGCTTTCGTAGTGGGTGATTTTCGTGTGCAAGTTCGGTACTAGTCCCTCTAGATTTTCCAGGTGTATATAATCATGTATCTCTCCCTCCTGCGTTCCAGGGAATACAGGTTTAGGAACCTCAAGCGCTCCCAATAATTGAGGTGTTTTATCTCCCGTTATCCGCGCCGTGAAAGTTCTCTGTACATTTTCTAGTCGGCAATTTCACCTGCCTTGAAAGGTGCTGTTAGTGTGCAGCAATATTCCAGCCTAGATAGAACAAGTGACCTGAAGAGTGTCATCATGGGCTTGGCCTCCCTAGTTTTGAAGGTTCTCATTATCCATCCTGTCATTTTTCTAGCAGATGCGATTGATACAATGTTATGGTCCTTGAAGGTGAGATCCTCCGACATGATCACTCCCAGGTCTTTGACGTTGGTGTTTCGCTCTATTTGTGGCCAGAATTTGTTTTGTACTCTGATGAAGATTTAATTTCCTCATGTTTACCATATCTGAGTAATTGAAATTTCTCATCGTTGAACTTCAAATTGTTTTCTGCAGCCCACTGAAAGATTTGGTTGATGTCTGCCTGGACTTTGCAGTGTCTGCAATGGAAGACACTGTCATGCAGATTCGGGTGTCATCTGCAAAGGAAGACACGGTGCTGTGGCTGACATCCTTGTCTATGTCGGATATAAGGATGAGGAACAAGATGGGAGCGAGTACTGTGCCTGTGGAACAGAGCTTTTCACCGTAGCTGCCTCGGACTTTACTCTGTTGACGACTACTCTCTGTGTTCTGTTAGTGAGGAAATTATAGATCCATCGACCGACTTTTCCTGTTATTCCTTTAGCACGCATTTTGTGCGCTATTACGCCATGGTCACACTTGTCGAAGGCTTTTGCAAAGTCTGTATATATTACATCTGCATTCTTTTTGTCTTCTAGTGCATTTAGGACCTTGTCGTAGTGGTCCAATAGTTGAGACAGACAGGAGCGACCTGTTCTAAACCCATGTTGCATAAGTGCCTCAATCTTCAATTTGTCGGTTTTTCAAACCATTCTTCACAGGGTTATTGAAGCTAAAACCTTAGGTAGTTTCAGGTTTAAGTTGGATAAATGCATGAATGAAAGGGGTTTGATTCGAGTGGGACTTGCACATGAGGAAATAGATTTGTCAGAGCTTATTGTTAGTGTAACACTGAAAGTGGGTTGGACGTATGTTCTGTTAGTGAGTTGGATTTGTAGAGGACCTGCCAATTATGGGCCAACAAGCCTACTGCAGTGTTCCTCATGTGACAACCTCAATATACTGGACATAAGTACGATGTCCAATATGTTGAGTATGTCACAGCTGATTCCGCGAGACTAACCTTTATGTAAAATTTAATCTAGATATTTTTAACAATTTAACTGACATTTGAAGTCATATTTTCCACTATTAACAAATAGAAGAAACATTATAAATAAAACATTCTCTAAAACGACAAGTACCTCCTATTTTATACACCAAATCCCTGTTCCTGAGAGTGGAAAAAAGTTACTAAATTTTATAATACTTTATCACAGATAATTTTATATCAGCCAAATATCTCATGGTAATATATTTGCACATTTTATAATTCGAGTATATAGATAACTGAGGAAATGTTAATGTAAAATAACCTGAGTGTAAACTGGCGTGTGTTGACGCTCTCAAATTTGTGAAGTCACTACCACCAAGATGGGCTTCATCACATCTGCAGGTATTATCCTCTCTTTATACTCTTTTTACACACCTCTCTGCGGTGTATGAGCAACATGAGTGACAGTATGAGGACATGAGAGAGGCAGTGAGAGTGATAGTGAGGTGAGAGGAGATTAAGAGTATCGAGGACGAGGCATCACTCCTTCCTCACCACCGACCTCTATTATGACTATCATTATTAAATAAAACTGTAATATATTAATCGCCCATGAGGGAGAATGTGTTTTTTTTAAGGATGTTTATTGTGAGGATCATGATATATGGTGTAGGGGATGACTACAAGTTAGTTAAGTTACCAAGTGATGCACCCGGGGTGGACAAGAGTTATATTGAATATTAAGTTAGTTTATTTAGGCACAGGTACACATAAGTACAATTATCACAGTGTAAATTATCAAGTATGACCCCAAAAAAAGAGATTGGGCAGATATATGAGTGGGAGGGGCTGGGTTTGATTGGTGTCATTGGTTACGGGGGTAAATTCTTGGGTAGCTTTGGGATGGGATGGTTTTGATAAGAACCTGACTTGTATGGGCCAGTAGGCCTTGTGCAGTGTTCCTCCATTCTTCTGTTATCCCCAGCATACCTGGAGAGGGTTTCTGGGGTCAACACCCCCGAGGCTTGGTCTGTGACCAGGCCTTGTGGTGGATCAGAGTCTGATCAACCAGGTTGTTACAGCTGGCTGCACATAAACTGATGTATGAACCACAGCCCGGCTGGTCAGGTACTGATTTTAGGTGCTTTTCCAGTGCCTTCTCGAACACAGCCAGGGGTCTCTTGGTAATCCACCTTATTTATGCTGGGAGGCAGTTGAACAGTCTTGGGCCCCTGTTACTTATTGTGTTGTCTCTCAGTGTACTTGTGGCACCCCTGCTTTTCATTGGGGGGATGTTGCATCTCCTGCCGATTCTTGGTTTCATAGGGAGTGATTTTTGTGTGTAAATTTGGGACTAGTCCCTCTAGGATTTCCCAAGTATATATTATCATGTATCTTTCTTGCCTGCATCCCAGGGAATACAAATCAAGAGACTTCAACCGTTCCCAGTAATTTAGGTTCTTTATCATACTTACGCATGCCATGAAAGTTCTCGGTACATTCTCCGGGCCCAAAATTTTGCCAACCTTGAAAGAGGCCATTCGTGTACGGCAGTATTCCAGCCTAGAGAGACAAGCGATTTGAAGAGAATCATCATGGGCTTGGCGTCCCTGGTTTTGTAGGTTCTCATTATCCGTCCTATCATTTTCCTTGCAAATGTGGTAGATACATTGTCTGGTTAATGGCACACTGAATCATATAAGGACTTTAGTATCTCACTCATTTCTTTGCTGTCATCTGTATAAGTCTCATCTCATCTAAGCAGGGATCCAATACTGGATGTTGTTTCTGCCCTAGATTTGGCATAAGAAAAGAAATATTTTGGGTCTCCTGTATGATTCCTTAAGCTCAAGGCATATTTCCTTACACCTGCTAACATTATACTGATTTCATCTTTAAACTGATTTTAGAAGTGTAATAAGGCAGTGAGTGAGTGAAATCTGATTGTTACTTAAAGAAATATGATGGTTTGAGGGTGATGGTCGTGTTTACGTTATAGCGATGTGAGTGCTTGCTACGTGAAGGAAGTTGCTGTGTTTTATCATTTTTTTATGATTGATTTTTTTCCAGTTTTTCTAAGTTTTTATGGCTCATGTTTTGCATCTATATCTATGCTAACATGTCTGTTTTACTTATATTTGTTTTTCAGTAACTGTAAACCAATGGAAGCACTAAATAAATATAAATAAATGTAAATGATATTTATGTAATTGGCTCCCACAGTGCCCTGCACATAAATTTTTTATTCTGAGCACACCTATGGTGCAGACTTGGTTTTCTCTGATGTAAACCAAACCAATTCAGTCAGGACTATTGTGGAGGTCCTAGAAGTTGGCACAAATTTACATCATTGGCATTTTCTCAGTTGTCGTAAATTTACATCACTGGCACCTTAATGGTCGACAAACACTTGGACAGTCCCCCTTATTAATCCGTTATATTGAGGGTTCACTGTAAATACCATACATCATTACAGCAATTTATTATTTGGAGCACTTGATTGAAATTTCTGTATAGTCTGTATAAAACAGTTATTATGCTATATCTTATAATGAAATAAATTTAAAAACGATTGTAATTAAATAAATTTTAAAAATTTCCCTTTCAGCGGGCATCTTAGCCCTGCTAGATGAGAATGAAGACCAGCTACGAGTGTTCGCACTGGAAAGATTAAATGAAATTACAGACACCTTCTGGCCAGAAATAGCAGACTCCATACAGAAAATGTAAATTATTATTTTCTTTTATAAATTTTAACACTGTATATGCTTGTCTAAATTTTAGTATCAGGTTTACATTCTTTTAATAAATCATTATTTTCTGCAATATAAATTTTAATAGTTTTAGTTCATAAAATTTTTTATGTGCAGTACTGTTTAAAGTGAGGCCTTTAATTATTTGTCTACTGTACTAATAACTTTTGTAAGTTATCTACCAATTTCTCTTCCTTTATAAATGATTAATATAACCCTAAATACAATTTTTTTCTGAGTTGAGTGGTAGCTTTGAGACAGAAATATTTTTAACAGTCATCTTCATATTCATTACACGCATGCACTCACACATACACAAAAAAATTCCCTCCCTTCCTCCACTACACCTGCCTACCTACCTCGTGCAGCCCTATCTCCATTATTAAATGGTAAAGATATACAGAATGTAGTATATGTGTGCCATATTGTTTACACCCAGGGAAAGAATAAATTTTAAAATTTACTGTTTGCTTCTACAGCTTCTGGAGAGTTATTTTAATATAATTTTTGTTCTCAGCTTTTGGTTCAAGAAATTGGAGCCATACTCCATTTCCTTGGACTGAATCTGATTGCTTCTCATTCCCTGTTCCCAAGGCACTATATGATCCTTATATGTTTATCATTCACCAGGAATAAAATACAGCCTCTCCTCACTTAGCGACATACTCGTTTACCAACACCTCTGACTAACGACGGGCTCTCTGACCAGTATGCATGCCTAACTAATGTATATTAGAGCTGATTTCCTCTATTCTGTTTATTACAATATACATTACACTACTGCATAAACATTTAAAAATATACCAGAAATGTTATAAATGGTGCAAAAGTGACATTAAAACAATATCAAAGATGGTTGACACAAACCCACTACCATTATAGTATACTCGTCACTTAGCGATGAATTCGTTTACCGATGTGGTCTTAGGAACAGAACTCCGTCATTAAGTGAGGAGAAGCTGTACTATAAAATAAGTGTTTTACATTTAAAAAAATTCTTAGCATTTAACTCTATAAATACTTAAATTTCACTTCTGGGAGCATTGTTTAGGAGCAAAGCAAGTAATGCCCAATAAATATTATGATGAGCAATCCTCTTATTGCTAAACATAATGAGGGAAAATTTCTGGGTCTGCACCTTGACAGCAACTTGAAATTCAACACCCATGTCCTATACACAACAAAAAAAAAGTGTCCAAAACAGTTGGCATCGTCTTATAGATACGTTATTATGTACCACAAACAGCACTACTTGCACTATACTATTCACTGATCTACCCCTACCTCACCTATGCTATTTGTGCCTAGGGATCCCCAACATCAAATCGCCGCAATACAAATGATTACACAGTACGTACACTGCTGGACAACATTCACCCCCTATTCTTCAAAGACCTAAATCTACTTACCATAAAAGCATTCACTCTTACTACTATGCATCCTACATTGACCTGAAGCACTTTCTTGTTAGTAGTAACAGGACCCATAGACATAATACTAGGCACAAAAATCTCTGTGACATACACTGTGTCTGTCTTAATCTTTGTAAAAATTTACTGTACATAAAAGGGCCCAAAATCTGGAAAACTCTGCCGGAAATCTCCAGAGCCACTTTCTCAGCCACCATCTTTGAAACTACCTTTAAAAATCTTCTCTCCTTAACATATACCAACATCAGCTAAATATGTGAAAACTATATACGTACTATCCATATTCTCATTGTCACAAACATATGGAAAACAATATACAGTGGACTCCCGACTTACGATATTAATTCATTCCAGAAGTCTGTTCGGGTTCCGTTACCGAACGAATTTGTTCCCATAAGGAATATTGTAAATTAGATTAGTCCGTTTCAGACCCCCAAAAATACACATACAAAAGCACTTACAAAAATACACTTACAGAATTGTTCGGGTTGGGAGCTGATCGTAAGGCGGGGGTCCACTGTAATCTTATTCTCAATATTTGTAATCCTCACAACCATTAAAACATCAAATGTGTCCACATTATGTTAATACGTATGCTAGAATCCTCATTACATATAATCATAATCAAACCTGTAATTCTTAAAATAATTAAACTCAATAAAAGCCATATACTATCATGTCCTAATAGGATATTCAATTCTCTTGTATTCATTGTAACTCCTTAACTTATTTTTACAACCACCTATGAGACTGTATATACATAAAAGCAATCAGTTAGTCATTGCCTTATTAATCTTAAGATGGTCTTAAGTTTGCTTGAAATGCTCTGCATATTAAGGGGCTTTCTGCATGCACACCTAAACGTCATTCACCTCTGTACAAACATTGTATCATGCTGAAATAAAGAATCTTAATCTTAATTCTCATTAAAACTTAGTTGAACACAAATTGATTTCCATGTGCAGATCTCTTAGTCTTGACTATTTTCATTTCTCCTGTTCTCCATTTTCATTATCACTAATTTAACAATATTGTAGTGAATCTCTCTATTTTTTACTTGCTGCTTGGAATCCACAAGATATCTTGATGCACACTTCCCATATTTGAGCTTGAATCATGGAAATTTGTGCATGGTAATAAAATAAAGTTGCCTATTGAAATTTTGTTGTGTGGCCAACAAGGTTGCATTTTTAAATATTTTTTAGAATTTCTGGAGTGGTGGTGGTGGTGGATTCTGCCTTCTTTCTCAATACAAGTACAGTAACTGATAATTATACATGGAAACAAGTATTACTGACAATAAATATTTGTTGCTGTCTCGATGGAAGATGACTAGTGTGTGACAAGAAAAAAAAACTGTATACATTGCATTTATATTGTACTCTAGGATCTAATACTGTGTGTTTTGTGGGGGTGTGTTGTGTGTGTGTGTTGTGTGTGGGGGTGTGTTTGTGTGTGTGTATGTATGTATGTATGTATGTGTATATTATATTATATATTATAAAAAAAAAAAAAAAAAAACACTGATCTCTGGCTGAAGGAGACTCGAACCTACGAACCTTAGGACAAGGTACGCAGTGCTTTACCAATCTAGATTGGTAAAGCATGCGTACCTTGTCCTAAGTTTCGTAGGTTCGAGTCTCCTTCAGCCAGAGATCAGTGTTTGTGTATATTTCGCATGCTCTCGCGAATTCCTTGCATATATATATACAGTGTATCCTCGAATTTAGTCCTGCCTTTTGTGTATGCAAAACTTTTTATTATCTATAAAATGTATTTTTTTTTTAATATTTTTGGATGTCTGGAATGGTTTAATTGGATTTACATTATTTCCTATGGGAAATATTAACAAAAAATACATTTTATAGATAAAAATAGTTTTGCATACAGAAAAGGCAGGACTAAATTCGAGGGTCCACTGTATATATATGTGTATATATATATATATATATATATATATATATTATATATATATATATATATATATATATATATATATATATATATATATATATATATATATAGGAGAGTTTCAGTGGGGGGAAATAAATGGGATTAAATCTGGAGTATCTGAGAGAGTTAGAGCAAAGGAAGGGGTAGCAGTAATGTTAAATGATCAGTTATGGAAGGAGAAAAGAGAATATGAATGTGTAAATTCAAGAATTATGTGGATTAAAGTAAAGGTTGGATGCGAGAAGTGGGTCATAATAAGCGTGTATGCACCTGGAGAAGAGAGGAATGCAGAGGAGAGAGAGAGATTTTGGGAGATGTTAAGTGAATGTATAGGAGCCTTTGAACCAAGTGAGAGAGTAATTGTGGTAGGGGACTTGAATGCTAAAGTAGGAGAAACTTTTAGAGAGGGTGTGGTAGGTAAGTTTGGGGTGCCAGGTGTAAATGATAATGGGAGCCCTTTGATTGAACTTTGTATAGAAAGGGGTTTAGTTATAGGTAATACATATTTTAAGAAAAAGAGGATAAATAAGTATACACGATATGATGTAGGGCGAAATGACAGTAGTTTGTTGGATTATGTATTGGTAGATAAAAGACTGTTGAGTAGACTTCAGGATGTACATGTTTATAGAGGGGCCACAGATATATCAGATCACTTTCTAGTTGTAGCTACACTGAGAGTAAAAGGTAGATGGGATACAAGGAGAATAGAAGCATCAGGGAAAGAGAGGTGAAGGTTTATAAACTAAAAGAGGAGGCAGTTAGGGTAAGATATAAACAGCTATTGGAGGATAGATGGGCTAATGAGAGCATAGGCAATGGGGTCGAAGAGGTATGGGGTAGGTTTAAAAATGTAGTGTTAGAGTGTTCAGCAGAAGTTTGTGGTTACAGGAAAGTGGGTGCAGGAGGGAAGAGGAGCGATTGGTGGAATGATGATGTAAAGAGAGTAGTAAGGGAGAAAAAGTTAGCATATGAGAAGTTTTTACAAAGTAGAAGTGATGCAAGGAGGGAAGAGTATATGGAGAAAAAGAGAGAAGTTAAGAGAGTGGTGAAGCAATGTAAAAAGAGAGCAAATGAGAGAGTGGGTGAGATGTTATCAACAAATTTTGTTGAAAATAAGAAAAAGTTTTGGAGTGAGATTAACAAGTTAAGAAAGCCTAGAGAACAAATGGATTTGTCAGTTAAAAATAGGAGAGGAGAGTTATTAAATGGAGAGTTAGAGGTATTGGGAAGATGGAAGGAATATTTTGAGGAATTGTTAAATGTTGATGAAGATAGGGAAGCTGTGATTTCGTGTATAGGGCAAGGAGGAATAACATCTTGTAGGAGTGAGGAAGAGCCAGTTGTGAGTGTGGGGGAAGTTCGTGAGGCAGTAGGTAAAATGAAAGGGGGTAAGGCAGCGGGATTGATGGGATAAAGATAGAAATGTTAAAAGCAGGTGGGGATATAGTTTTGGAGTGGTTGGTGCAATTATTTAATAAATGTATGGAAGAGGTAAGGTACCTAGGGATTGGCAGAGAGCATGCATAGTTCCTTTGTATAAAGGCAAAGGGGATAAAAGAGAGTGCAAAAATTATAGGGGATAAGTCTGTTGAGTGTACCTGGTAAAGTGTATGGTAGAGTTATAATTGAAAGAATTAAGAGTAAGACGGAGAATAGGATAGCAGATGAACAAGGAGGCTTTAGGAAAGGTAGGGGGTGTGTGGACCAGGTGTTTACAGTGAAACATATAAGTGAACAGTATTTAGATAAGGCTAAAGAGGTCTTTGTGGCATTTATGGATTTGGAAAAGGCGTATGACAGGGTGGATAGGGGGGCAATGTGGCAGATGTTGCAAGTGTATGGTGTAGGAGGTAGGTTACTGAAAGCAGTGAAGAGTTTTTACGAGGATAGTGAGGCTCAAG